GATGCATTTACAACTAGTTTGCTTCCTTGCAAAATTAGACATATGTGTTTGGAAATTTTAGATGCAATAAAACAGATTCCTATATCTATTTTTTTTGCATTTGTGAGCTTCTCTTCCATCCCTCACCATAGGCTATTTTGACCAGCAAAGATTTCACATAGCTAAGACATACAGTATCACATTACGTTACATAGCTATGATTAAATTAATAAATAAAAGTGCAAAAATAAATGAACACCAGTTTTTTTTTTTTTCTTTGATGATTTGATGATTGGGTCTGAAAATTTGCGCATATGTTTACTTTTGTAGACATCAATATTCCTCAATATATTCATCTGACTCTAATGACTGAAGCCAACAAGGACAGCCAGATGCTTCTGAAGGAAAAAAAAGGCACCAATAATTTATRCTGCTGAAATGACTGAGACTGACAGCATTGTTCCTGCAGACAGCAGCCAGAGGGATGCCACTGCTGTCATAATTAGGCTGAGACAGATGGTAAGAGAGATGATGGGACAGAGTTTGAAAAGAAGTCATCTGTTTCCTCTCTAGAACTTATCTTGCGTGTCTGTGTTGAATCTACAAGCCTGATTATCAGACGTCTGCATCCACCCCTCATTTAATCGTGACTACATGTCAGTTCTCCCACCTTGCTTGAAGCTGGAACATCGGCTGGAAACATGGAGGAGACTATACTCACAGGAACTGTCAAAAATGAGTAATCATAAATATTCGTATCCTCAGGAAACATGCTGACCTTTAGAGATGATGAATTATACCTTTAATATCGGAGCTAAAGCAGTTCAARTCTGTTATGTAAATGCTGATGTTTTGGTCAACAATATGCTAAGYTTTTATTCAGGATTTCACAGACGGTACGTACAAAACATCCACATCCAAACATCATTTTTTAATACTATTTTATTATTTTTTTAATATAGTGACGTAAATCAATCTAAAAATCATTCTTTTTACTGAAATAGTGGATGGTAGTTGCAGTATAGTATTTTSTGCTGCTCAGCATTCAACATAAATCAAACAGGTAGGAGTCGCAGACTTTTAGCTGTTCATGAATAGAGTAACAAAGTATGGTGTGTGAATTGGTAATGAAGTCGGAGGACTGAATGTGAGACTTCCTTCGTCAGGAGGAGGAGGGAACTGAGGAGCAGAGGGAAGACAGCAGATTTAATAAAGTAAAAAAAAAGTAGTGGGGAATGTGGAGCTCACTGCAATTGRTTGCAGGGCTCTAAGTAGTGAGAAGGGAATACAAGGTTTCCCTTTAGATTAGGAGAGASCTAGCAAGGCTCTCACATATAAAAAAAATCATAACAGAATTGAATGGATTCAGAATTGAGAGTCTATCTGTGTGGCTTGAGTCTTTCTATAAAAGTTGTCTATACCTGTACCTGTAGGTATGATTGTGAAGGTTTTAAGTTTGGTGTGGTTATTTTATACTGTATACTTGATAGTATGAAATTCGATATGATTTGGTTTTGTTTATAGAAGAGTGCCCAGGCATGATGTTTACTGTGCTCTATATTACATGTGACTTTCATGTGGCCTGCCAATGACTCCCCCAACACACACACACACACACACACACACACACACACACACACAC